TCTTAATTCCACGCTTTCCAAAATTAGCCAATAAATCCCGAATTCAGTGCCCACAAGCCTTCCAGCATCAACCCTCTAATATCGTAATTCAACATGGGTCACCATCATCGGCGAATGATCACGGACAGCAAACGGAATCAGGTAGCCCCGAAACGAACGGCGACGTCATATCTCGGTGAATGCGGACGAAACGTGACAGTCGATGGAATCCACTCGGAGATTACACCACGCGCCAGGACTGGTAAGGTCAGGGCCGTGGTATACATATATTTCGTCACGGCGTGATCATTGCGTCACGTAGCGGCTACGACCATAAAATTCAATCGAGAGAGCCGGGCCTCACCGATCCAGGCTCCCATAGGCACCTGTAACTAAACATCTATCGATTAATTGCCTCGAACGCGTCTACACCACCTGGTCTCGCGATTTTTCCCTCCCGATAGTCGAAGACGGAGACCAGACGCTACCAACGTCGTAAAAAGAGAGACGCGTATGTAGGTAACGCACGAACCACCCCATGGCGGCCTCGCTGCCCACGCAACGGGATACCGTGGGTCAAGGCTGCCGGAAAACCCATGCGGAAGATGAAAAACCGTGGTGAATCGATAATTGAGCCAGTCGACAACGGGAGGGTTAGGACAGCAATCGTGGATTCGCAAACGGAGGACTTGTGTATGGAGCACACGCCAATCGAAATTGTCAGTATTTACTCGGAAGTGGAATAATTGATTTCACTTTTTCGAAGGCCATCCGTTCGGATTAATTTGTCCTGTTTCGAGGACAGTACTCTTTGTACGGTGTGCTCTACACATTTTTTGCTGTTCGCGGTCACGTTCGCTGATGGCAGGAGTTAATGAAAAATAAGGAAGGATTGTTGTGTACCTATCTGGATCGATTGAAGGTAGTCTTACTTCTATCAAGAATTGATTGTCGGAATAATCTAACGAGCAGTCTATCCGTTTATCCATGTGGTTCAGGGAATCATAGAGACGGAAATCGAGTGGGAAGACGAAGATTGGCCAATGATGGATCGACTTCAGCGAACAATATCATCGATCAATTGTAGAATCATTCCGTCACCCTTTAACATTTGTATCGAAATAGCTACCGCCCACAGTCCTGGACAGGATAAATCCAACAGTTTCTTCCACCTAGTACTTTCTTCGACGAAGATAGGACGCGTGTGTGTTTCCCGTCCAAGTGGTCGCGTAACACCTGTTAAACTCAACGGGGTTCCGAAGTACCACGGTACGTACGAGTTCACGAGTGAGCTTTAGAAGCTTGCACCGGTACTTTCCACGGATAGTAAAAAATGTAAGAGGTGGGCCGTGGGGGGTGGGGTCGCGCAAACGAATATTAACAGTCGGGCAACAGAGGCGGTGAAAGGCGCAATTCGCCGAGACTCATCAATCACTTAACTGTGTACGACCGGCAGGCAGCCCCGTGGCTGTGCCGGGCACGAGCTGCTGGGCGACGAAGAGGCAAGCCGTAAATCGAGTTTACGCCCCGAACACCTTTACCTGTTATCGCCACCGTCATGCGATTATTGGTTGTTACTTTCTGGCCCGTGTGCGCATCGACGATAAAAATGATGAGGTTCTTGGGGAATGGGGATAGCTTAATGTCCGGGGTTTTTGTAACCTATACCAACTCGGATTATGCTTCGTGGCTTTACGATTCAGTGATTTTTTTTTCGTCGTCGTGATACAGCTGAAAGAAGTGACAAATACATGGCCGAGAAGGTCACATCGTGAAGAAGTTAATGTTCGTTTTTAGAGAAACGGAGGCTGATCGAGGTAAACGGCAGCCATGTTGGAATCGTCGTATTCGACGAGAACGGATGTGTCTGTGTCATGGGATGGGAACAGCTAAGTGTTAAATTAACTTTCGAAAGTGATTATCTCGGAGCACGAGGAACTAACTTCCTAAAGCAACGAAACATTCTTCTCTACGAAGGGGTTATCATAACTTGAAGATGTCTTTGAGGTTAGAGATCCACCATCATACGGAAAACTTTGATGTTTACCGTGGATGGGGGTTCGTTTCTGTTAGTCTAAATAGTGTACACCAAGTTATTGTTTATTCTGTACGTTATCAAATCTAATATGAGGGTGCAGTATTCATAAAGAACTGTTTTATCAAGATACCTCGATGTTTGTGTAAATATCCTTAAAGAGAAAGGGATCCAAGTTCAGTCTTCACAAATTATTTCAACCGGGCCTGTCATGTTTTTGTTCTTTAAACTTCCGTTTTTCTTTTCAAAGTCTTTCATTTCAATACGACAATTTCCAGTCCAAGCACTTTTAGTTTACACTATTGTTTAACAACTCGACGGATCAATTCCGTTCTTCGTTGGGTCTCGGAGCGGTATTGCGTTCACCACCAAGCAAGGTTCGGGTTTAACAAAGTGACCAAACAATATCAAAGCCTAGCGACGACCTACATAGCCTAACTGGTTAGAGCAGACCCGCTGAAAATGAAAAATCGAAGCTCGACCCCCTCGGGTCATACAATTTGATCATCCAATCCCTTTTTTCCCCTCGATGAAATCTTCCACACAACCTTCTGGAGCATCAGACACCGTAAGACGATATCGCAGGCAAGGTATCCTTCGAAATCGGTTTGGAAAGCCGCGTCGAAATGGCACGATAATGGAAACACAATAGCGGCACGTACAATTCGAGCAGATGACAATAGCGACGATAAGCATATGTAGAACATATCACGAGTAAATAGATTAAGGTGGAGGAAACGGTTGCGTATGTATTCAGGGAAACAACAATCGCCAATGGAATCGTGATCGGTGCCTAAATAATGAGAAATTATAACACTTAGAAAAAAAAGAAAAAGAAGACGAAGCAATCTTCTTTATAGAGGGTGGGCCAAGTAAACATTTACAAGAGCTGGTCTCCCCGAAAGCCACTGCAGATATCGATTTCACTTCTTTTTACATTAAAATAGGATTTGATATAAAACCAATTTTTTAGGGGAACTTCCTATAGGGACAAAACTGACCTCCTTCGTTTCCTGTTTAAATAGACCGGCGTATTAATCATTTTCTTTTCGGATAGCTCTTGTAGAACATAATCTCACATCCCTTTCATACAGCAACCACGTTGGTCATTCGTACGAAACATGCTGCGCCCATAACAAACAATTTACAGAGTAATTTAACGACATCAACTCCTCCCCTATACAATCTCCCGAAATTCGTTCACGTGAACGCACGCGGTTTAGCTAATACGGTTACGAGTTTCCGAAGCAACGGATAGAATTTTAATGGAGCGTCGCGGTCCATCGCGGGCCCGGTACGTCCGCGGATAAATCTTTGAAATGCCGATGAATCACCGCCGGAATAACGTAATTAATGGAATAAAGACGAGGATACGAATTCCACCTGGAGATGGGGCGTGGAATTGAAGTTGTCGAGGCGTCAACCGAAATTATTGTTCCGCGAAAGAGACGTGAATAACTAACGAAGGGTCTTCAACCACCAAGCGAGATCCGTCTTCTTATTTGCATTATATTTCTGACGGTCGGTGTATTGTTGCGCTGTCTGACCTGGCTGAATGGAGTTCCTGTCATTAGGGGGTTACGTACCTTTGACAGGTCGAAAAATAGGGTCATCTTTATGAATTTTGTTCTCGTTTATAAAAAAAGGAACGTTTTATATACATCCTTTTTATGTAGTAATAAGAGACTGCTACGGTATCATTTCTCAAGGTATTAAATTCCTTCTAATAAGAGAATAAGTTTAATTTATACACAAAAAAATGTACATATATCTTGGGTTTTAAATAAAACGTTCATTTATATTAAAGAGAATTCGTATGATAACCCTGTTTTTTGAACTATCAAAGATACGCATTTCGTTCTCACTGTTGTCATATGGCTACGTATTAATTACGAATTAAAATATTAGTATCATGTATGTCTTTATATCTGTGAGTATATAATAGTTTCTTCTAGTCTTGTATAAAAATTATAGCACAAATTTGAATGTGCAATTAAATCCTTACGAGTAAAATACGACATTATTGGTCCTCTGTCTTATTCCTTTGATACAATTCAAGGGTTGAACATTGTTACAAAACACAAGAAAATGTGTGTTTGGTAATTTTTATATCATTTGGGAATGAAAGGGGTAAGGACGCGGTTGGCAGATTTGATGGGAGGAATCGCGCGATGTCTCGCGAGAACAGGCGTTGGTGTTCGTCCGTACGTTCGACACAACCAAGCCAAGGATTCCTCGTTCGCTTTCTCTTTGGCTCGTAGGCCGTCGCACAATGCCCGTCGGTGTGTATCTTGCATTAATCATTAAGGCGTACGTGTGCATCCCTCGCGTTGGACGTTACTCTTGATTTGCATCGTCTTCGCGAGAGGGTTGCGCAACCTCGTCTATGATTTTTTCTCCGCGGATGGAACGGTTGCGCCAGGCCTGGATGCGTGTAAATGAATCACCGACGTTACCGTGAGCTTAAAAGGCGCGGACAATAAACATTTTCTTCTTGTCTGGTTTCTACCGGTAACGAGCAAACGTAAGTATTCTTCGAGTGAAAATGGGACGTCCCAGTTGCGACGGGCCGTGTTTAGATTTTCTTGGTTAACGTCGAATAGGTTTCTGTGGCCTCGACACCGTTGGAATAAAATGTTACGATAAATAATGAGTTATGATCCCCTGGTGTTGTTGAACTCGAACGAAAAGGCATTTGTCTTTTGTTAATTAAAATTTTCGACCACGTTATCTTCACAGATCTTTTATCCAAGTTAATTAAGTATCGCGAAACAAGGTCTGAGAGGGGATCGAGAGTAATTAATGAAGAATTCCTTCCTAGCTTCTGGGGGGACTAGATCAGCGAACAAAGGAGCGTATCGGTTTGAAGAATTGAACGTCGGAATGTTGTACTTAGTTTCATTTTACTTTCAAAGAAACGAGAATTTTTCTTCCGAGATTTCAAGTGATTCGCGAACGAGTTAAAGGCTTGTGAATTTATTTTCAGAAGAATGGACGGAAACGTTCTCGTATCAGTTGCTGGTCGGGACTGGAGTAGCGTTGATGGTTTTATTATTACTCGCCGCTGTGAGCTTCCAATGTTCGTCCACTTGGCGATGGGTTATGTGGGTGAGATGGTACATGAAGGAGGAGGATGGTGAGAACGACCTATCGCAGCAGAACGCTATACGTATCAGCCATTCCCTGCCGGATCTTCAGTCTGAACCGATCACTCACGAATACGTCCAAGAGCAAAAGGATAATAAGAAGGTACCGGAGATATAAACCACGTGGATATACTTTATGTTAGAGGAAATTTCTTATTCCTGAAACCAATGAAGAATATTAGACGAATTTCTTCGGTAGATGATGTTGTCAGGAAACTGCTTAACACTAAACCTCCCACGACAGGTCAAATCGTACCTGTTTTACAGTTCCAATACCAGCAGGTTTTAAGGGTTCGTTCGGTAAGTTCAGTGTTAAATGATTCGGTAAAAGATATTTCAGGGAAAAATATATCTAGATTCTACATTGAAATGAACCAAGCTCACGCTCATTCCTGAAGTTAATCCGAATCATCAATTCTGTTCATCCGACAGTATTAACGAGTATAGATTTCAAATACGTAATGGTACACAAACGTTCCCCTTTTCCAGAAATTGTATTATAATAGCATTGCACTACAAAACTACAAAATTTCTATCAAAAGGACTGAATTGTCCTACATATCGATTCGATCGCGTAGCACTTCCCAGATCTTCCAACAAACATATGAAACATCTTCGAACGTCGCTGACAATCGCAAACACCTGACATTCAATATTTCATACCGAAGCGATTTCAAGCATTTTACCTTCATCCTCGTCCGTTCGTCAAAACTTCCAGCTCGCACTTAGAAACTTCCGAGAGACGTACATAAAATTTTTATCCGTGAAAACCGCTCGTTAAACAGCCCCGCGGAAGTTTCTTCGTCGTCGACTTCCGGAAGCTCTGAAACATCAAAACCCCTCGATGGACGTATCAAGCGATGACTTTTTTATAGGTGCTACGCCAGACAACTTTGCCCATTGTCCCGATGAGACACCAGAGTTTCCAAAGGCAGCTCTCACATCGACTCGACCTGCCGAACATCAAGTTCAGCATCTGCAACCTGGAAAATCGCAGCGATTCCAGCCTGGGATTAATCAAGGTACGCGATCCTCGTCGACATTCTCCCTCTATCTCTCTCCTCTCTTTCCTAACTCCGCAATCTTTTCCGCGCCCAAACTTTCACGTTACGCAATTAAGCGAATTTTCTTCTCGTCTCCCTCCTGGAAGAGAACCCCCACCGAACAGTGGCTCGCGGGAATAGAAACACAACCGACAAATTCAGTTTATCCGAAGTTTTAACTATGCGCGATTGCAGCCGGAACTCTACAAGAAGGAGCTCCAGAGGCAGGAGAGCGCGGAGAGCTCGAGCACCACCGAGATGGAGTACGCCGGAAAGCTGCACTTCGCTCTTCGCTACGACAAAGAGAGCGAGGGACTGGTCGTTAAAGTGAGTTTCTCAATTTTCCTAATGGACGTTCGTTTGCACTGGATATTGCTAAAAAGAACTGAGTCAATTCATTAAAAGTGCCCTTCCAAAATGGTCGTCGGTTTCTTATAATGTCACGACGTTATTAGAAGCATCTCAATTCCCGGAACACAGAATACCATCGGCGATCGCGGTGCATCGTAGGGTTTTCTTTAAGCGACGCACGTACCGCGAAATCAACGTAGAGGGGCGCGCAGAGGCGGCGGTGATGAATTCTTCCCGCGCAAACGATGACCGACATTCGCGTTCCAGTTTCATTCGATTTGCTCAGAATTATATCGGTCTCTCGATTTATGATATATACTCGATCGCGTGCGGTTGCATTGATGAAGTCGCGGCTACGTGTCTCAAGGCTATCGATGAAAGATTTTTCCGGAGAGGAGAATGCATGAAACGATCGCGAACCGGGCGAGGTTTCATCGATGAAACGTAATTCATTCGGTATTCCTTGTCACGCGAGGGATCTCGTCCTTCGTCAATATTTGCTATGAAATTAGAGCATGATGACGTATTTGTATTAATATAGATATTTATCTGGTACGCGAATCCTATTATACCGTCCAGTTTTCTTCACTTATAAACGGGACAGAGTCGCGACGGTGTGTCTGCCTTGTTAATTGCATAAACTACTGGAAATTTTATGCGACTACTGCCTTCTTAAATTTCCCTTGAATTAGAGTACGGTCTACATATTTGTTGTAAAGAAAGGTGTATAGATAAAAGAAGCGTAGATTCTGTCTGGTTTCTGGAGAATAACGTGTCTGATTCGTTCAGGTATAATCTACTTAAACCACCGAGGCATGTGTCGAATGTATCTTGCTACCATTACGCCTAGTAACTTACATTCACGAAAAAGAACATTTTATAATAACTTCATGAAGATTAAATTACTCTGGACTTCATGATATGAGTATTGTATCCAGTCGGAATAAGAGTACTTATTTATACAACTCTCTGTAGAGTACACTTATCAGCTTATTACCATCAAAGTGCACGGTACTGAAGCTTTTCGAGAATCATCTGAAACTAAATTTTCAGTACACAATATCCCTCAAATGCAGTTCACAGTCGCGCTCTCGCCCGGCTAATTGCACGGCTGCCATATTTAGCGCGTGTTATTGGATAACGATAATGAAGTGCGGCCCGTTGGACACGCGGCGTCCGCAGCTTCCGTTCGATTACGATTCCTCGCCGATTAGGTAATACCGATGCCGATGTATTATTCTTTGCTCGCCGGAATGGAATCGACGGTGAATCGAGTTCGTTATAAATAGGGCGGTGCCCACGTTTCGTGACACAGAAATATAAATGCGTGCGCGGGGCGAGCATCTGGTTCATTCATAAATGTAGCGGAGAACGGGTGTATAAAGAAACATGGACGTTCAACAACCCACGGAGACCTGAATTTCTCTCCTGTGGCCGTGTGATTATGGTAACATTCGAGGATTAAATGGCGTTCCTTGGAATACCCGACAGACTGACGGAACCATTACCACCCTCGTACATTTTTCATTGAGATAAACGCCAGAATTCAGTGCCTACCTCTTCGAAAGGACGTTTGAACGAACGAATTGACGCGGTTGCAGGAAAATTCATCGCGTCTTAACAGTAGAACATTAATGATTAAACCTTTCGTTCCCACTGTTGCCTCGTGGCTAGGTATTTTAAATTACGAAATACAATGTTAGTGTCATGCATTTTTTTCATATCTCTGAGTATATGTATACAATAACTGTGATAAAAATAGAAAAAACGCCAAATGGCAACAAATGAAATACAACATTCGACGGTTCAAAATGTCAAAACGTTCTCGTGAATCACTTGTATGTCAGATAATATACACAAAAATACAACGAAATATTTCTTTGATAATTTTTAAATAATTTGGGAATGAAAAGGTCAAGGGGATAGAATGTATGAGCATCTTTATCTAACTAAAATATTAGTAAATATATTTTCTATTTACCTACGAAATGTACAATAATATCGATCGATCGTTTGTTCCAAGGGGAGTAACATCCTGCGTCGTGTGTTCTTTACATGTTTATGGGACTTCTTCTATTCACGTTCCTCATTCTTTACTCATACGCGCAGCGACGTCGTTGAAGCGGAAATTGCTATCCTAGGGTGAATTCCACCCCTTCGCGGAATTTACAAGTTGAATTACTTCAAAAGTAATATTCAACGCGTCCCGTACTTCGCGTTTTCCCAGAACGAGCCATAGTGGTTTCATACGACGACCTACGTGACTCGACATGTGCAGGGATGGCGAGATTCAACTTTGTAGATCTCTTGTACCGAATTGCAGCTTCGTCGTTGAATGTAGATTCGATTCCTAAGACGCCAACGGAACGAGAAAGTATACGGCAATTTAGTCATCTTCGGTCCTTGAATTTACCGAACCACCTTCCCCTAAAAGTTATTTCGGACGATTCTGAAAATTAAACTTTGACAGTATTTGATTTCTTGGTGTACATACTAGAAGGAAAAGTTCAATTGGCATGAAAAAACCAGGAAACATGTTCGATCTTCCTTGAGTCCAATCTAGCAAATCTTTTCTGTCGTGTATCAGGTCTTGGAAGCTCGAGAACTACCAGTGAAAGACGTGACAGGCAGCAGCGATCCCTACGTAAAAATATATCTCCTACCGGACAGGAAGAAGAAGTACCAGACGAAAGTACACCGGAAAAATTTGAATCCAGTATTCAACGAGACATTCATCTTCAGGTGAGTACGGTTCATCCAACGATCTATTATACATTCCTTGACAAATATCAGCATCGCCTTGCCTAACGTTCTCAATGGTGGAAGATACACGATTGTAAATAATAACACTGTCAACAATCTGTCACCAGTGTATCGTACGATGAACTACGGGAACGATATCTCCAATTCTCGGTTTACGATTTCGACCGATTCTCAAGACACGATTTGATCGGACAAGTGGTACTCAAAGGATTGTTAGAGTTCACCGATCTCTCTCAGGAAATTAAATATATGATGGACATCATGTGCGCTATGCAGGTAAAAAATTCGTCGATTGTATAGCTAATAATATTACAAAAAATATACAACAGTAATCTTAACCGAATCGTTCGTGCATTGTTAGGACAAAGTCGATCTAGGAGAGTTAATGCTGTCGCTCTGCTACCTTCCGACCGCCGGTCGACTAACAGTGACCGTCATCAAGGGTAGGAACCTGAAAGCCATGGACATAACAGGAACATCCGGTAAATTGATCTCGATTGTTAGATAGAGTCCTTTATAGAATCCTTTCGCGAATTGTTTCGTAACGCCTTACGCAATGTCGATCCACGTAGTACGTAATGGCGTGACGCTGTTTGCTTAAGTGTTCTAACGCCGTGTTCTGAAACACACTGAGCCGTTGTTATATCGACACAATACGCTTTACATATGGAGAAATTGTGAAAGTGAAAACAATAGGCGGAATGGTAGTGGTAGAAACTGAGTAAACTAATTTCTAAAGTTATTCAACATTCTAAACTCATTGACACTGAGACTTTTCTCTCGTACAATATTATTCTCTGATAATTTCATTTCCCCTTACCTTAAACACATTAATATCAGTATAGACAACATCTCGAAAGGATACACGAATTTTCAGATCCTTACGTGAAGGTGTACCTACTCTGCCAAGGCAAAAGGATAAAGAAGAAGAAGACTTCGGTTAAGAAGAACACGGTGTTCCCTTTGTACAACGAGGCTCTAGTGTTTGATGTGCCCGAGGAGAATATCGAGGATGTCAGTCTTATAGTTAAAGTAATCGATTACGACAGGTAAGCGAACGAAAAGCAAAGGGGTCGCGTTCTCTTTCGCACGCGGCGTAGGCGATCCTCGTGTTTCATTGTTGGTCTCGATTCACTTCGTTTAATTTTTGTTTGCAGGATTGGCTCGAACGAATTAATGGGCTGCACGGCGATTGGCTCCAGTTTTATTGGTATCGGACGTGATCATTGGTTGGAGATGTTGGATAACCCGAGGCAACCGGTGGCGCAATGGTATCCCTTGCTGGAGACTATTGCTGGACACATTCCGTCTGAGAATTCGGAACCGCTAGCGATGAGTCTGAGCTGCTTAAATAAGAGGTGAGCTAGAAAATTCACGAAATACCGTTCGACATAAAATCTTTCGACTTATGTATCAATTTAAAATTTCAATTACTAACTGACAAATGGATTACACTTTACATCTAAGCCTCAAATGAACTTTTAACTGAAATAGAAATTTATATTTAAATATATGAGTGTAATTAACTAGTTAGTATGAGTTTGAAACACCACGAAGTGACTTCCAGAAAACGTAGTTTTACAAATTCAACCATTTTTAAATATTTTTCCGTTCCTGAGTAACATCGTAATGTTACTAAAGCTAGAATTAAATAATGCCGGTTAAGCTTAACCGGATACCTTCCATTGCAGATGAAGACAGCGTGACCGAAATAAGGTTTGCGGGAAGTCGCGATTTTTGTCAGACGTCGGCTGGGCGTTGTTTCCTTCTGTCGTCATTTAATGCACACCGCTTGACTGACTTAAATACTGTTTCTATCTCAAACGGCTCCGAAGGAACAAGTAAACAAAAAAAAATATTACAAAAAAGACACACACACACGCACACACACAATCATAACAACAAACTCTGTGCTTTGGAATATAATCATGTGGCGAGCGTGGAATAGTAAACGGACAGGTAGATCATATTAGAATGTTTGTAAAAGCGTAGAGTATGATAGAGACAAGAAGCTATGACGGCCGAGATTGCTCAAACTATAACCCGATGATCGAGTGTTTAAGAGAAGAAAGAGAATATACTAAATAATAAAGAAATTAGAGATGAGAGAATGAGAGAGAATGATAAAGATAGAATAGTTTTATTTTTCGACGACGAATCCAGGCTGGCCCTGTATTCAACCGTACACATGAATATGGACCCGTTTGCCGTCTGTACTTACACTTTATGAGCGCGAAAGAAAGAGAGAGAGAGAGAGAGAGAAAGAAATATGTATACACTCAATTGGACGATTGCGATCGAATCGATTTTCACGCGGCCAATTTAAGAGCGTGTAACAGTTTTGATTTTCGAAAAGTTGTTGGTCTACGAATTGTTTATAAAATCGCGACGAAGCGCTCGCACAATGGCAGGGTGTCGACAGTGATTTCGTTAAATCCATGAAAATTTTACTCAAAATACGAAAGAATAATTATCCAAGATGTTAGTATCGGATGCACCCTACATTTTTTCTTTCCAAATGATCGTAATCCAGGACAAATGGTTCACAATTTAAAACTGTGAATCGAACACGTAATATCCTTGAATTAGGTTGCTTTTCGTAACAGATTATTTATATAATTTCACTCGATGGTTTGAAATTAATGGAAATATTCTTCATCGATCAGGTGTTCATTATCAGCGCGAATGCAACCTATTCCCTGTGTATACCTGCTTAATTTGACGAGTACAGCGATCGAGGATATGCAATCATATACGCGAATAGTGACACCGATCTGTTGTGTTACTCAGTTAAGCAAAGAATGCTGTAACTCGATGGTAATCGGTAGAATAATTTCAACGGAATGGTTTACATACGTATTTTCGTTATACAGTCGTCTGGTAACTTTACGAAAATGAGCAGTACGACTTTGTAAAGTAATACTTCTAATTAGAAGTCGTACTGCATTCTTTGCTGAATCGAGTAACATAGTACCACATTCTCGAATAATAAAAACATATCAATTGTTTAAACGATCGACTTCTGGCCCGAAAATATCAAAGATGACTATTTCACGTTAAATTAATATACGTTTATAAATATACTTACAATACAAAATATTTCTGAATTTTATTACTAATAATAAACACGGCGTACAAAAAGACCCTAGCCTAGCTAAGAAACACAACAGATCGTTGTCGTTACTCGCGGATATGATTGAATATTCGCGTTCACTATACTCGCCAAATTAAGCACGTATATGTATAATATCGAATACAGTAAAATTCAGTGTACGAAGTGAAATATACGTGAAACATATGGTAAATGCCTATTACTTGCTACAGTGTACTATAACGCTACTAGTATACCGTAACGTATAAAGAATTACTTCCAATGGTGAAATCCTCCGAAGACTCGGGCGAACGACTCTTCTTCCGTGCTTCCGGAACAACCTCTCTAGGTCATCGATCTGTGCATGACACTCACAAAGAGAACGTTCTGACGACAATAAACCCTTCTCCTCTTACCCTCCCGAAGTAACCAGACGAATCCTTCTCTAGTCTCGTAATAGCAATATTCCTAAACGGTAACGCTGTATCGATGCGAAAATTGTGCAGACCAAAACCGGACGAAACAGTGAGATCATCCAAATGACGGATACGTAGACGTTTACTAATTCACGCTCCTTCTCAGCCACTTTACGCGCAAATGTTCTTGTTTACCGCGATACGTGTTTTAGGTATAAAGCTCGTCGGAGGGCACAGTTTGTGATAACACGCTGTATATGTATACAGACACTTTGCAAGCCATAGCTGCGACCACTCTTGTCAATCATGGATCGACGACGAGATTCGTCGAAGCACGTACAATCCGTTCCGTGGATTCGATTCACGTGAAGGGAAAGTTACTTTGCATTTCTAGGCAAAAAAGTAGAAATATGAAAAAATAATTATTTCAGGTCTGAGTAATTGGATACCATTAATAATGGGCTCAACTTTATTTAAAGACTAGATGACAAGTAAAAATAGTAAGGCTTTTGTATATCTAGTCATTCAAAGTAAAAAATTATTTTATCATATTTATACAACGTACGGTGATGTGATCTTCTATTCATCATTCGA